GGGATCTTCCCCTTCTTTTCTACAGACCTGAAAGTCTAGGAGATGGAGAGAAAGCCTCCGACTGAGTTCTCACATTATTCTCCCCAGCTCACCGAGGACCTGCTGACTGTTCCCTGTTTACCAGGGAGTTTGCTGAGGAGGAAAAGGAGAGAGGTCCTAACACCTCCCTTCTATTGCTTCTTCCTGCACCCTTCAACGTGCAATTCCTCTCCCCGGGACACCAGAAGGCGGCTTCTAAGAAGCACAAATCATAGCAAAAGAACACAGCCCAGAAGGAAAAAGAAAGGGACAGAGAGCATGGAGGTTATGCCAACTTCAAGAGAGTCGCGAGGTCAGCTTCAGCAGTTCTGTGCCAAAGCGCGAATGTGGCACTGATCTACTCTCTGCACACAGCACAGCCTCTGATGCCGCCGACCGAGACACAGAGCCCTGCCCTCGGCAAATCATCACGCTTGCGATCAGACAACAGCCTGCGGGCGCACAGCAGCGAGGGGGAAGCTAACCCTCACTCGTCTGGCACAGGAGTTGTTTCAGGATTGAAAAGGAGACAAGCCGCTTGCGTTGCAAAAGCTTTCTTGTCATGAGGTTCTCCCTTGGGAAACCCATGGGATAGCTGCGGAGAAAGCACGTATGGTGCTTTCTTGATCCAAAGTGGATGGAAAGGATCCGCAGCCTAAGAGCCTTGTCCTGAATCCACTGGAGGAGTTTTGGATCAGGCCAGTGGGATAACTGATCGTTCAGCAGCAGGGATCGTTACTGAGAAGTTTCTAAAACCAATCTGTGACAACTATCAGCCTAGCAGTTATACTTTTGGTTCCAGCTCATCGAGAGGGATTTGTTTTGAGATTTCAGGTGTATTTTCAATAATTTCTAGAGGCATCCTTAGTACAGAGAAGTAATTAGCAAAACTTCCAAGGGCTTCAGTGGGAGCAGAATCTCACCTTCCACCTCTCAGACTCCAGAAATGTAATACCATGTTTAGTTCTGGGCCCTCAGGAAACCTTGTGATAACAGTGCTAATCCTGAATTACACTATTTCATGGCGGCTGACCTCTCCTTCTGCCCCCACACTCTCAGAGGCTCTGAACAAGAAAAGTTTCCCTGGATTTGGAACTCATGTTGGCCTCTTATTATCTTGCATAATTTTCAAATCTATTTTTTCTTCCTTTCTAATCTAAGAAAGCACCAAAATTGATTGTTAAAATCATGGGGTATGCTGTGATTGTGGCTGGAAAGGGTTTGTTCTCTTTGACACAATTTTGAGGTGAGGACTGTTTAATACATCTTCTTTTTTTCATCTACTGGTTGCAGCTGGGGATTATTTAGGCTGCATTCAAAATCTGCCACAGACATTCTTTTGTCATCTGGATTGTTGTTGTTCTGCATTTAACTTGCATAAATGGTGTGCACTTCACAAGAAATAGAAAAATTGGACACTCCTTTTAACACATTCTCTGTTACATAGCCACCTCGTTCTACGGAAATGCTTTTATTTCAAGTAGCTGGGAGAGAAGAACCTTCCTAACTTTGAAGTGGGTTTTACTGCATTAAAGAGAGAGAAAGAGAGACTGTCAAATCCCATTTCATTTTTAAAGTTAACTGTAAAGTTTTAATTAGGTCCTCTGAACAAGGACTCTGCGATGCTTTATGCGTAAGAGTTAGCAATAGTACACGATCCACGCACTTTCATCATTAAGTTCAGTTGACAGAGGCCAACACAACTCTTTTCTTTGTAACTTTGTAACCATTTATGTCTGAGGTGAAGATGTTAATATGGAAATTTTGTGAGCTGGGAAGGACTACGAACTCTATCATTGTAATTTATGACCTTTCATCTAAGGCCAAATGTAAAGGCAATTGCAATTGTTCTGTATCTCAGGGCCAGCACATAGCAGATGTATGAAATCTGCAGTGTTAGACATAAACTTTTATTACAAAATTATAAATAATTTCTACCACTTACAATGTTCACCTTTCAAGTTCATCTTGATTAAAACGCAAGGGCAGCATCTCGCTGATTTCCATGAGTTATACAGCTGAAAAACCTCTGTCACAGTACACTATGAAAGGATAAAGCAGTGTGGTATTTAAAAGAATCTACTGATAGCAAGGTATGTGATGTTTTAGATCAAAATCCTTTCTCATCTAGATGACAAACAAACCAAAGAGAATCGTTATCCAACGACAGCTTAATTTTGTTTTCATTCTTGAAGCTTTGAAATCTTTAAAGAGTCCACTGAATGTGGATCACTTAAATCCTTTGAAGATCACCTTCTCAAGGTCATTGGCATTTTGTCACTCAGGAAATAACACATTCTTCAGGTTACCTAATCACAGATGTGATGACGTAATCTTCAGCCTAAATATACAAGATGGGAACAGCCTTCCTAGGTGCGACTCATGCTACACCAGAGTGCTCAGCAACATGCACCTTCCTGCATGAAGATTAATTTACCCCTAGGAACAGCATGTGAGATTGCTTTAGGACCTCTGGCAAACCAAGGAAAATTTCCTAAGATTTGGGTTCATGACTTGGTCTCAAACCGTGAAAGAGAATAGCTAAGGATACAAAACTTGCCAGTCTCAATGCCCACAATTCAAAACAGATGTGTTTGTGAGGTTAATAGTGTATGCAGCAGGAAAGTAGAAGGATTTTTCTGACACCGAAGTATCCACACACATAGAAACTGACACTAAACGTATGCCTAAGCAAGCTAGAAAGCAGCCTACTGAGCAGAAGGCTAAGTAGCTCATCAGGTCCTGATGGCTAGCAAAATAATAGAAATACAAGCTATGAAGACAAACTCATAAGAAACAAAACAAAGAGGAAGGCTCCCAAACCATCACATATCCCTAGCTGGACTTGCAAAATTGTCATGAAAATTCACATGTCCAAGCATGAAAAATCTACTTGCCCAAACTTTATCATGGAGATAGACAACAGCGAAAACCAGAATACTCCCTCATCAAAATATTACGCACTGAAGTCAGGCGGCCAGATAAAACTTTGAAAGCCTGCTTCCCAGAGTAACTATTTCACGTTCCTTTTCTGCTTCAAGTATTAGATACAATCAAGCACAGTTGGATGCTCCTGATTAACATGATGGTTGCCTGGAAACACGGGCACAACGTGGCCCAACCTTCCTGGCCGTGCCTGTGCTCCAGCTCTGGGACAGCCAGGTGAACTTGGTCGGGTCTGTGGACCTCGCCTCTTATTTAGCCTAAGCTTTGGGGCAAAAAAGTCACTGGATACACGTTCAACAAGAGAAGACAAACAGCTCCAGAAGGAACACGGAATACAAATCTCTGTTCTGAAAAGCCATAGTACATTTTCTTTGTATCACAAGAATTGAGAGTTTCACCAAGACACTAAATCAATAATGGAAGAATGAAAATAACCCATCCAGTCCAGAAGCTTTCACA